AAAAAAAAAAAAAGGAAAAAGAAATACAGTGGGAAAAATTATTTTCTGCATATGTGACAAAGGGTTGATATCCTTAATATTAAACACAGATGTCTTATAAAACAATGAGAATATTATGAGCACACCAATAGACAGATGAGCCAAGGCAGTTCACAAAAGAAGAAATACAAATGTTCCACAAATGTAGTTCAATGTGTTGATCTCACTAGTGATCAAATTAATACAATTTAAAACAGTGAGATTCTGCTTTTCACCCATCAGGTTGCAGAGATTCAAAAGAATGATGATAACCAATGTCAGCAAGACAGCAGTGCTGGAAAAGGAAATAAGTCTAACATTTCTGGAGGACAGTTTGGACGTATTCCTTAAAGTTGTCCTCATTTCTTGAGCTAGCAATTCCCATTGTTTGGTTTTATAACTTAAAACAATGAGGTATGTGCATTATGAAATATGTCCAAACATGTTCACTGGAGTATTACTTAAGATAGTAACATATTAATAAAAAAGTAACCTACTGGTGATGGGTACAGCAAAAGCCCTCACTTATGCATTATACAAGATATCCATGTAACAAAAACGCTTGTACCCTCTTAATATCTTGAGATAATTAAAAAAAATAAACATTCTGCAATAGGATCCAGCATTAAATAAAGGATTATCAATAAAATCATTTGAAATGATGTTACATAAGTATATCTTGTCATAGAAAGATATCAATAATATCTTAAGTTTTAAAAAGAAGCAGGTTGGAAAAAAAAAAAAAAGAAGCAGGTTGGTAACAGTATGTATAATATTATGTCTGTTTATATATTTCAAGATCCATCTATCAAGATAAACTATATATATTTGCCAACATTTGACCATTTTGACCATAGAAAGTATCAGTTTCATGTGGTTCAACCTACCATATATTTAAGAGATCTCTGAATGGGCATCTAAAAAATGTTAACAGTGGTTTTCCACTGGATTATAGAATATAGGAGCTTTTTTCCTTGTATTTTCTAATTTTTATGCAATGAGCTATTTGTTTCAGAATCAAAATTTATTTTAATTGTAAAGGTATATGATGCCTAAATAATATTAGTACCATGTATTATATACAGAGATTATACATGTATATAATTATATAGAAATAAATTATATGTAGAAATATATAAATAGACATAATATGCAAACTGTTGAACATTCTGCTTCTTTTTTAAACTTAACATATTATTGATATCTTTCTTTTTTTTTTTCC